AGCCTGGTGCGGGCTGCACTGGCCAAGAGGTGCAGGAGGGGAGCAGGACCAGAGGGGAGGGTGGCATCGCTCTTCAACCCCAATTCTCAAAAAGCCCAAGTGGGACGTGCCAGGCCCCCAGGCCTTTAGCCGGTGGGAGCTTCTGGAAGCAAGAGGGATTTAAGGTAGATTGAAAGTAGAACTTCTGTGCTCGGGCAGAGGGGATGGGGGGATCCTCCGCGGGGGCGGGTTCATCCTGGGGGCGCATGTGGCCAGAGCCTCCAATGTGCAGACAGAGCGCGGTGGTGACACTGGTGACACCACGGTGGTCCTGCTGGTCGCTCAGCCCTCCCCCTGGAGCTGCGGGATCTCGCGTGTCCCGCCCAAATCGAGATGCGCCCTTAGTGTAAAACACCTACCAGGCTCCGAGGATTAAGTGGGAAAACCAGCCCTTGAAATGCCTCCTTGATCGTTTTTTGTGTTGATTGCTGGTGGGAATAACGCTGTTTTGGATCTAGGGACTTAAATAAAACACATTATTTAAATGGCATTTCCCCTTTTGAAGGTGCCCCCCCACACACACCGGAAACTGCAAACGACCCAGGTCGAGGGGGCGGAGGCGCTGGTCTGGCTTGTGTCCTTTAGTCGTCGTAGCCACATCATAGGTTTGGGCTTGTGGTCACCTGCTGCTTAGAGGTGGGGAAACTGAGGCCCATATGGGGTGGGGGTGGGGGTGGGGGTTGGGGTGAGCGTGGGAGGGCTCACAGCCGAGAGGAGGCAGAGCCAGGCTTTGAACCCCGGGCCCAGCAGTTCCGGACGCTGTGCCGCTAACCTGGAGCTCTTCGGCCAACTGCGTTGTGTGTCTAACCTGCATTCTGGGACTCAGTTTCCCCAACCCACCAACGAGATTAGACCGGGGATCGGCCCGCCTGTGCCCACAGTTAGTTGAGGCCCTCGGAAACTGTTTGATGGCCAGAATGCCATCAAGTGGGGATGGGGGGTGGCGGGCAGCAGCTTCAGGGGGGCGGGGCGGGGGGTGCGCAGGCTGACACTCTGTGTGTCGTGCAGACGGCCTGCCAGTGCGGGGGCGCGTGGGGGCGCTGGGGCTGCATCTGTAGATACATGAGAACACACAGAGGGTGTTACATGCTGTGGATGTCGGGGCCTGTGGACACTGGGGGGGGCCCACACCTGTGGACACGTGCGTGTGCGGACGGGGCGGGCCAGGTGGAACCAGGGAGGAGCCCCGTCTGGATCCCCCTCCTGATGCTGACGCTTGTTCGTTCACCTACAAGCCCTGACTGAGCACCAGCAGTGTGCCACATGCGGTGGGGACAGGTCGTTGACCAAGACACACCCAAGACTGCTGTCCCGGGGCTCACCGTCCAGGGGGGGCAGACGGGCTCTGAACAGGCTATGTGGGTGATTGTTTTACTTGGGGATCGCCCGTGCACTAAGGGCACACGGGTCCCTGCGAGGTTGGGCGGGTCTGGGTGGGGCCCGGGGCTCTGCATTTCCAAGGGCTGCAGGTGAGGCCCCTGCTGCTGGTCTGAGGGGCCAGGTTCGGAGTAGCAAAGGGTCTAAATTGGACCCTCGGAGAGTGTAGGAAGGGTGGAGGCCCCCGAGGGGGCTGTGGCTTTGCAGCAGAGACCTGAGTGAGGAGGGATGTGGTTATCCTTCCCCGGGGGCCCTGGGGCAGGAGCACACCTGCCCTGTGGGAGGAGGCCCATGTGGCTGGAGCAGCGTGGGCGTGGGAGATGGGGAGGAGGGGGCTGGGGCCAGATCCTGCAGGGTCTTGGGAGCTGCAGGGGGAGGCTTTGCCCTGGGGCTGTGGGCAGAGGAGGGCAGGGCCTGACTTGATGGCTCACGGGCGCCGTCTGCTGGCCGCCACGGGGAGCCTGGACCAGGGCGTGGGGGACACTGCAATGGTCTGGGCAGGGACAGGGCAGGGGCAGGAGTCGTCGGGGCCTCACCGGGACCGCGCTGGGAAGGAGTGAGATTTCCGGATAAAAGTGAATGCAGAGCCGGCAGGACTGGGGGCTGGGGGCCAGGGTGTTGGGGGAGCGGGGCAGGACTCCAAGGCGGTGCCTGAGGCAGGGGTGACAGAGGGGGCACCAGTTGCGGGGGAGCCTCAGCTGCCAGTCGGGAGGTCACCTTGATCCCCACCTTCAGCATCGTTCAGGTGAAAGTACCGATAGGTTTTATGTGTTACCTGTTTGGAACTTACGAGCTGATCCTAAAGTTTACACCGAAGTGTCGGAGGCCAGAGGCCCGAAGAGGTGCTGGGTGGGACAGGTTTTCCAGAACGAAACTGGAACCTGTGTCAAAGTTATAGTAACTACAGGGACGCTGGGGTGGCTCAACAGTTGAGCGTCTGCCTTGGGTCCAGGGCGTGACCCCGGGTCCCGGCATCGAGTCCCGCATCAGCTCCCTGCATGGAGCCTGCTTCTCCCTCTGCCTGTGTCTCTGCCTCTGTGCGTGTGTGTGTCTCTCATGAATAAATAAATAAAATCTTAAAAACGAAAAAAGTTATAGTAACTACGGAGCGGGGAGGACAGGAAGGTGGTCGGGCCCGGGGGCTCCCCGAGGAGCAGAGGCGCTAAAGCAGAGCGGCCCTGAGGGATTTCTGCCCCCGCCTCGGTCTTCTCATCTGCACAGTGGGCTCAGGTGCTGAGAGGTGAAGCGCTGGTCGAGGCCGCAGCAGAGGCCCGGCCGCAGCGTGAGGCGACCTGATGGGGGCTGGTGTGCTACTGCTCCACGACTGTCCCTCCATGGGACGTGGACGAGTGTGGGCGTGGACGAGTGTCCCTGGGGCTGCAGGAGGAGGCACGCCCCTTCCATAGGCAGGCGAACACGAGGGGGCCTGGACACCCTCCACACTGCAAGGCGCACCTGCTGGCCACACGGCTCCCCCCCGCCCCCCATCTGGCCCTGGTGGTGGCTCTCCGTGGCCAGGTGCTTGGGCAGGTGGTGGCGCTTCTTCCGGGCAGGCAGGCGCTGGGTGGCTGCTGGCAGAGGCGCCTCGAGTTTCATGCAGAGGCAGATGGTCTTGGGGGGGCGGGGGCCGGGGAGAGGTGCTGGGGCCTCCAGGAGCCCCAGGTCGGGGGGGAAACTGAGGCCAGGTGTAGTGAGTTGGCCCCAAAGTGGCCCAGACTCCCCCCAAAAAGAGCACGTGGAGTTCAGTTCTGTGTTATAATCAAAATAATATTAACCGAGCAGGTTTCAGCTTCAGCTCTGCTGCCTCAGTTTCCCCATCTGTATGGGGGCATATTAACAGCACCCACTTCTCGGGTGTGTTGTGTGGATTAAATGAATTAATTTAGGTTTTTTCAATACCTGGCACATAGTAAGCACTTGGTGTTTGCTACCTTTATTATTTTTTGAGCTCCCACTGTATGCAGGGCCCTGTGCGCAGGGTGCTGGGGACACAGTGGTGGCCAAGACCCTGTCCTGCCCTCTCCAGAGGCTCATAGTCCAGTGGGGAAGACAGACAGCTGGGCAGTTAGAAGATGGGGTGATCAGGACGCTAAGGGGGAACACGTGGGAACCTGGAGGAAACCCATCTGGGCTGATCTGGGAAGGCTTCCTGGAGGAGGTGTCTGAGAAGAACAAGTACCAGGTTACTGGGAGCGGGAGGAAGGTGTGCCAGGCAGAGGGAACAGCACGCGCAGATGTCCAGAGGTGGAGACAGGATGGAGGGAGGAGGTGCTGGGACTTCATTTGGAGGACGCTGGGGAGCCATGGAAGGGTTTAGAGCAGAAGTTCTCACCTGGGGATGGGTTTGCCCCTCAGGGGACACTGGACAAATGTCTGGGGAAACCAGTGGTTGTCACATGGGGGGTTCTCCTGGCAGCAAAGGGTGGGGGCCGGGGATGCTGCTCAACACCCTGCAGTACCCAGGACGCCCCCCCCCCCCTGAGAGAATGGTCACGCTGGATGTCAGCAGTGCCCAGGGGAAGAGACCCTAGTTTAGAGCAGGGGAAAAACAGGTGAGATTTGCGTTCTAGAAAGATGCCTGTGCCACCTTGAGGAAGACAGAAGGGGCAGGACTGGGGGCCAGGAGACCAGGTAGGAGGTGGGGGCTGGGCTGCAGAGCCCTCAGGGCAGGGGAGGGGATGGGGGGGAAACACCCCACTCTTTGGCTGAGGGATGACTGGGCTGGTGGGAGAGCCAGGCTCGAGAAGCCCAGGCTGGGTCCCAGGGGTCCCTGGGTGGACCTGTGGGGCTGGGGCAGGTGGACAGAGGGAGCAAAGACTCCTTCCCAGCCTCTGGTTGCTGCATCACAAAGTTGAGAAAACCAGGAGGAAGAGTTAGTCACCATCCCGTCCCGTCCCATCCTGACCCAGGGCCTCGGGTGTTAGGTGACTGCTAGCCTCTCTGGGTCGAGGGTCGAGGGGCCGCGCTGGGTGTCGTTGATCTCATTGTGGCCATTAGGGTGCTCGACACCTAGGAGCAGAGCCCTGGGTTCCACCCGGCGGCCACATCCTCTCTGGTGGGACCACAGCCCCCAAATCACACCCTCCGCTCTCACGTCTGCAGAATGGGCTGGATGCTACCCCACTGCTGCTAGAGCCAGTGGGGGGCTCTGTGAGGTAATTCCTGGAAGCCCCCCAGCGCCAGCTTCTGGCATTTACTATGCCGACGGCAACAACAGGAATCGTAATAATCAGCATTTACTGAGCGCCTGCGGTGTGCCAGGTGCTGTGCTAATACCTGCCACGGGCCTGTGGGGTCCGGACTGCCCATGCCCATTTTACAGATGAGGGGATGGAGGCCCAGAGGCTGGCGGCAACCTGGCCAGGGTCACTCAGCCCATCAGTGGCGGAGTCGGGATTTGAACCCTTGCAGCCTGGCTCTGGAGTCCTGCCCCAGATGCTGCATGGCTAGTGAATGGAAGCTTTGTTTGGGAGTTTCTTTTTCTTTTATTTGTTATTTAATTTAATTAATTTAAAAAATTTTTAAGGCTTTTATTTCTTTTCTTTTCTTTTTTTTTTTTTAAGATTTCATTTATTCATTCATGAGAGACAGGGAGAGGAGAGGCAGAGACACAGGTAGAGGGAGAAGCAGGCTCCCTGCGGGGAGCCCGATGTGGGATTCGATCCTGGGACTCTGGGATCACGATCTGGGCCGAAGGCAGACTCTTAACCGCTGAGCCACCTGGGCATCTCTGGAAGTTTCTTAAGTTAAATATTATTCTGATAGAACGTGGAATAAAATGCACAGGGCATCACCTCACAGCACTTAGGATGGCAACTACAAAAAAAAAAAACAAAACAGAAAACAACATGTTAGCAAGGATGTGGAGAAATTGGAACCCTCGTGGGCTGCTGGTGGGAATGTGAGATTGGGGCAGCGCTGTGGCCAACAGTCTGGCAGGTCCTCAAAGAAGTTAAACATAGAATTAGCATGTGATCCTAGGCTTATACCCCCGAGAATCGAAGGACAGGCCTCCAGGAGATGTTCACAAACCCATGTTCATAGCAGCATTATTCACGACAGCCAAGAGGCGGAAGCAACCCACGTTTCCATCGACGGGTAGATGGATAAGCACAGGGCGGTCCATCTGCACCCGGAATCCCAACCCAGCCTCAGGGAGGAAGGGACCCCAACACCTGCCCCCGTATGAACAGACCCCGAGGACACCGGGCTCAGGGAGGGGACCCAGACCCAGAAGGACTCCTCCTGCAGGACCCCACTCCCAGGAGGTCCCCAGAGGAGGCCCGTGCACAGAGACAGAGGAGGTGGTGGGACCAGGGGTGGGGCAGGGGCAGGGGGTCAGTGCTTCCTGGGGACGGGGCCTCCGTGTGGGGAGACGGAAGGTTCCGGAGATGGTGGTCGGGGAGGCTGCGCGGCGGGGTGAGTGTGCTTCGTACCCTGAGCTGCGCCCTTGGAAATGGTCAGGATGATAAATTTATGTTATATATATTTAACACAATATAGGCTCAGCGGGTTAAGCATCTGCCTCCCTCTTGGGTCGTGGTCCCGGGGTCCTGAGATCGAGCCCCACACGAGGTCCCCTACTCAGCAGGGAGCCTGCTTCTCCCTCTCCCTCTGCTCCTCCCCCCTGCTCATGCTCTCTCTCTTTGTCAAATAAATAAATAAAATCTTTTCAAAAATTTAAAATTTAAAATACTAAAGAAAAATGGGGCAGCCCCGGTGGCTCCGCGGTTTAGTGCCACCTTCAGTCCAGGGGTCCTGGGATCGAGTCCCACGTCAGGCTCCCTGCATGGGGCCTGTTTTTCCCTCCGCCTGTGTCTCTGCCTCTCTCTGTGTGTCTCTCATGAATAAATAAATAAAATCTTAAAAAAAAAAAAAGAAAGAAAAATGTTGAAAAAAAGAAGGACAGAGCACCTGAGAAGCCTGGCTGACCCAGGCAGGTGTTGTGGCCGAGGAGGCTGGGCCTGAGAGTGGAGCAGGCTGCGGGATGCTGGAGGCCACCCGGGGGCCTTGACTGCTGTGCAGTGGCTGGGGGGTCCCTGGGAGCCATGGAAGGCTGCCGAGCAGGGGAGGAGCCAGGGAAGGAAACTCTTAAGGAAGCAGAGGCATGTCCCACGAACACGTAGGATCCGGGCGTCTGCTGAGTCACAAATCCAGGAAGTCCAGGGTCACGAAGAGGAAGCTCTGCTGCTCCATGCAAGGCTTTCCTGTTTTTTGGCTCTGAATCCTCAGAGGCAGGCACTGTAGGGCCAAAGTCCTCATACCACCTTCACCTCCAGAGGTTCAGAATCTCGGAGCTCTGAGGCCAGGACAGGGCGTGGAGATGTCCCTGCTGCGCGCATGGGGAAACTGAGGCACAGGCCTTGCCTGGGGCTTCCCGGAAGGACGAGGCCGTAGGTTCCTTACTCAGGACCACCAGACTGCACCCCTGCTGGCAGGGCTGTGGAGGGCTGGGTTCCAGAGGGTGAGTTCTGCTCACAATTCCACCGACTGTCGATCATCAACCGGAGGAAGCCTCCACGCCGCACACCACCGGGCAGGTTCTCCAGATTCCCTTGAAGAAAGCTCCCTTGAGAGGTAGTGAGGTGCCTGTCACACAGGTATTCCAGCAGAGGCCAGGAAGGCCGGAGTGGGGAAGGAAGTCAAACTTGCCGGGGTCCCTCTGAGGTCCCCCGCCAGCTGGAATATTCTACGATTCTAAAGTATAGCAGTTCCCAGATTGTAGTTTATAAAATTCTGAGAGACTTTAAAAAAAAACATTTTTTTGAGCCTTTCATTTTAAGATTGTTGTGGGGTTTTTTTTCTTTTTTAAAGATTTTATTTAATGATTAATTTATTTGAGAGGGAGAGAGAGAGCGCGCGAGCAAGCGGGGGTGAGGAGCAGAGGGAGAGGGACAAGCAGACTCAGTGCTGAGGCAAACACCGGGCTGGATCATCCTCCCCCCGTCCCCCAGAAACCACGACCTGAGCAGAAATCAAGGGTCACTTGCTTAACACCCACTGAGTCACCCAGGCGCCCCAGGATTGTTGTGTTTTAATTCTAAGAATCCTTGAATATATGTTTTAAGATTGAACTATTCAAGTTCGTATTTCGAAGTGTTGTGTGTATCATTCTTATGATGCTTTTTGATTCTTTAAAATCATTTAATTTAAAAGTCATTTAAATATTGTCATTATGGGGGTGGTGGTGGTGGTGGTTAGAACCTGTTTCCGGAGTTCTCACTACGATGTGGTCAGAAAGGTCTTTCTAAAAAAAAAAAAAAAAAGAACTTTCTGATGATTCCTTAAGTGCTGTCGTTACTATTACTGCCCGCTTGGCGTTATGTTTTGTTACTGCCCCCGGGATGTTCCTGGGGTTTGAAGGCCCAGGCCGCTGCGGCTCGCGCGCGCCATCTCTTGGCGGAGGGCGGGACTGCAGGCCGCGCCGCTCACCGCCAGCGCCCCCCCCCCCCCCCCCGCAGGTGTCACTTCTCGTCGCCCGGACCTCGCCATGCGGACCCCGCGAGCGCCCCCTCCTCGCCCGGCCCCACTGCTCCTACTGCTGCTACTGGGGGGAGCCAACGGCCTCTTCCCCGAGGAGCCGCCGCCGCTTAGTGTGGCCCCCAGGGACTGTGAGTGGGGGTCCTGGGGGAGCAGGTGACCCGAGGGAGGGTTCTTGCTCCCCAAAGCTGGGTCTGCTTGCCCACTTCCCTGGGGGGCTCACCAGACCAGGCTCACCCCAGCCCTGGATCACACTCCTCCCCAAACCCTCCCCCAGACCTGAACCACTACCCCGTGTTCGTGGGCAGCGGGCCAGGACGCCTGACCCCAGCAGAGGGTGCTGAAGACCTCCACATCCAGCGAGTCCTGCGGGTCAACAGGACCCTATTCATCGGGGACAGGTATGAGGGATTGTCGGGCAGAGTGTGCAGGGTGAGGTGTGGGGAGCAGGTGGTGGTATTTTGGGGGCGGTTGGATGCTGGGCCATGTTGTTTGCCTGGAGTACAAATTGGCCTCCTTGGGGCTTTATAAAGGGTGCCGTCTCAACTCCACTTGTGGTTACAGCCAGAGTCGGCTATGGTGTGTTTGCAGGTGGGGACAGCTCTTTGGTCAAAATTCACTGGGTTTCTAGAGGGTGCTGATGCGGGGCTCCAGGGATTCTCTGAGAAGGTGACATTTGAGTTGAGACCTGAGTCAATCATGGGGACATCTTGGGGGAGAGGGAGAAATCTGGGCAGAGAGCACAATCTATGCAAAGGTCCTGGGGCAGGATCCGGCCTGGTGTATTGGAAAAACATTAAGGATGCCCAACTGGCTGGGGCAGAGTGGGTGACGGAGAGAGAGGGAGGCGGGGAGGGCAGGGAAGGGACAGGCAGGTTGTGTGGGGCCTTGTGGGCCTCAGGGAGGACTTGGGCTTTTACCCCAGTGATGGAGAGCCCCGGAGGGCTGGGGGCAGAGGGCCGACCAGACTCAGGTGCTCATGGGCGCCCTCTGATGGCTGCTGAGGGAAGGACGGTCGAGGGCCTGAGCAGGGAGGCCAAAGCGAAGGCGACTGCGCTGTTCATGGTGGACTGGGGTGGTGGCCCCGGAGTGCACGAGAAGGGGGTAAATTCTTGGTGGGCATTAAAAGCAGAGCTGATGGTATTAGCTGATGTGTGGGAGAGGAGGAGAGGCAGCAACTTGAGGATGACTCCCAAGTTGTGGCCTTTGCCCCTCGAAGGACAGAGTGGCCTCAGCTGAGATGAGCTATGGGGCAGCGTGGCCAAGCTGAGTGACGGACGTCCCGGAACCCCGGCAAGGGGATCTCCAGGGTCAGCTGACCTCAGGGTGGGGCCAGGCTGGAGACAGGACTGTGGGCATAGACGGGGTTACTCCAGAGGAGACCCAGCCTGGGCACCGGGGGGAGGGGTGGGAGACCGAAGGGGCCAGATGGGGGCGGGGGAGCCGGATCCCTAAGGAGTTCCCAGGAGAAGGGGTACCAGCCAGTCAGACCCTGCAGTGGGGGCGAGGGGAACAGAGAAGTGACTGCTGGACTTGGCACGAGGTCGTCAGTGACCTTGACCGGGGCAATTTCTGCGGCGGGGGGTGTGAGGGAAGAACCTGGGGGAGACTGGAGGTGGTGGGAGGGGCACCTGATGGCACCCGATGGCAGGGCATTGGACAGTTCACGGGGTTGGGTGTAGGCCCCTAAGGCCATGGGGTGTGTAAGCACGAGCTGGCGTTGTCAAGGCGTTTGGAGTGTGCTAGAACCCGTGGGTCATTTTCGGGCGTGGGGATGCGTGCGACGCATGAGCAAGCACGCGAGGGCATGTTTGGTGTTGCAGTTGCCCGCAGCTGCGGCCCCGGCTCACCCCTGCGTGTGACCTGTTGGAGAACGGGGAGTGGGGGCCGGGGGGTGATGGAGGCCCCCATCCTCACTGACTGTGCCTCTGCCCTAGGGACAACCTGTACCGGGTGGAGCTGGAGCCCCCCACGACCACGGAGCTGCGGTACCAGCGGGTGAGGAGGGGGCACAGGTGGGAGGGGTGGGGGCAGCCCTGGAGGCTCCTGCGCGGGGGCCCTGACGCGATGCTGGGGAGCAGGAATCGGGCGCCAGGGATCCCGCTCCCCTCACCACTCCCTCTGCTCCCAGAAACTGACCTGGCGCTCCAACCCCAGTGACATCAACGTGTGTCGCATGAAGGGCAAGCAGGAGGTGAGTGCGCCCTGGCCACGCCTCCAGCCACGCCCCCACCCGGCCGGAGCCCTCGGGTTGCCATGGCCACGCCCCGAGCCTGGCCACGCCCCCAAGTGGTCCTCAGGCGTGGCCACGCCCAAAGCCCCGGTCAGTCCTGGAAGCTCAAAGTCCCCAGACGGGGGTCCCAGTCCTGGCCCCGCCCACACCCGCCCCCGCCCCTGTCTAGCCACGCCCACACCGTGGCCACGCCCACCCCACCAAGGCTTCTCTCTTCCCGCCCCACCCCAGGGCGAGTGTCGAAATTTTGTAAAGGTGCTGCTTCTTCGGGACGAATCCACGCTCTTCGTGTGCGGTTCCAACGCCTTCAACCCCGTGTGCGCCAACTACAGCGTGAGTCTCCCCCCGGGACGCCCCGCCTGCCCCAGGTCCAACCTCCTGGCCTAGGCTCACCTGCCCTCGACTGGCCGTGCCCTTTCCCCAGGCCACATCACCTCCTACGGGAAGCCTTACTGGATATGCCCTCCTCCGCCCCGCCCCCCCCAGAGCCCCCTAGGAGGCTTCCAGAGGAGATCCGGGAAGCCACAGCTACTTAAGCTAGAATCCAGTTATAGGATTAACAAGGATTGACTCTTAGACCTGTTCGCAGAAGAGTAAACTAAGCCCTAGACAGTTTAAGCGGTTGTCCAAGTCACACAAGCATCCGAGGTGGAGCCAAGATCCCTTAGGGCCCAGGGTGCTGGGAGAGCGGGGGGCTGCCCGGTGTGGCCCGGTGCACTGTCACTCAGGCCCTGTGCCCCCCCCCACAGATGGACACACTGCAGCCCCTCGGTGACAACATCAGCGGCATGGCCCGTTGCCCGTACGATCCCAAACATGCCAACGTTGCCCTCTTCTCTGGTGAGTGTCCCCCAGCGCTGACCGTCTGATGGGCCCCCAGCCCTGACCAGTGGTGGCATTTTCTATTCTTGGAGTTGGGTGATCATGAAGGTGGCTGGGAGGCCATCTGTCTGTCCAGCTGTGAAACACGCAGGATCTTGGCCACAGTCAGCGCTCAGCCAAGGTCAGGGCTCAGCTGGGGCAGCTGGAGATCAGCCTGGGCTTGGGCTTAGGTGGGGCCCAGGCTCAGCCTACGGACAGGAGCTCCCTTGGGCTCTGGGCTCAGTCTTGGAACAAGATCAAGTTGTGACCCACCCTGCCCCTGGCCTCTGTGATCTGACGCAACTTCTCACCTGCTTCCCCCCAACTCACGCCCATCCAGAAGGGATGCTCTTCACCGCCACGGTGACCGACTTCCTAGCCATCGATGCTGTCATCTACCGCAGCCTGGGGGACCGGCCCACTCTGCGAACCGTGAAACACGACTCCAAGTGGTTCAAAGGTGGGGCAGGCATTCATCGAATCCCCCCCCCCAGAAGAGACAGGAAGGGGACTCCCATCCCATCTTTGGAACCTACTGACCTCTTAGAAGATAAAGTAGAGGAAAGATGTCAGTTGGATCTGAAGTAGAACTTGCTGGAAATGGGTGGTTTAGAAGCTTGAACTGGAACCACAAGAGGGGTTCAACACATGAAGGAGGAAGGTGACAAAAATAGTGGATGTTGCTGTTTGTGGAGGGTAGACATAGTGATTTTGGGATCCTGACACCCAGCATTCCCCCCCCAAAAAAATCTTTGAGTCTATTTTATTTTGCCTGGGTAATCGGCCAGTGTCCCCGCTTCTCTGTAAAATAATTCACACGAGCTGATCTGTTCACACCCCAGAAACTCCATTCCTCATGTCAGAGGCTCGGTTCTGACCCCTCCTCTCCTACAGAGCCCTACTTTGTCCATGCCGTGGAGTGGGGCAGCCACATCTACTTCTTCTTCCGGGAGATCGCGATGGAGTTTAACTACTTAGAGAAGGTAAGTCCCATCTCTTCCACCCCCGAGAGGCCCTGGTGGTGGGGCATGTTGCTGAAAGGCTCTGGCCATGGGAAGCAGGGAGTAAAGGTGGCTCCCTGAATCTCCACCTGGGGCAAGGGGTTCCACCCTCCACCTCTGGTCCTCAAGCCACTGGACCTCCACTCCAGCCAGGACCAGGCTTCCGAGGCTGGAAGACATTATGGAGCGGCCTTGGTGGGCATAGCCCTGGGTGAGGTTCATGGGTTTGAAGGCAGGTAACACCTCTGGGGTTCCAGCCCTCGGGTGCTTGCTATGACCTGTCCACCCACCGTCTCTCAACCGTTTATCCATCCTTCCTCCACTGTCCATCCATCTACTCACCCTCCTACTCAGCCACCTTCTCATTTACCCATCTGTGTGTTCTTCAGCCCACCCATAATTCCATCAGTTCATGTATCCATCTTTCCATTTACCCATCTGCCCACCCATTGACTCAACCATCCTCCAGGTAGCCAGCCATCTGCTCGTCTGCCCTACCTGCCTTTCATCTCCTATTCACCTATTTATCCAGCTACCGGTGCATTCATTCATACAGCTAAACCATCCACCTCTCTGTCCTACTCATTAGCTCATTCACCTCCTGCTCGCGCTTCGGTATATCCAGTTATCTATCCCCCCTCCCCTATTCATGCCATTCAACCTTCTGTCTACCCATCCACTCATCCATCTACCCATGCACCCGCTCATCCATTGATCTATCCTTATGTCCTTCTTCATCTGCCCATCCACTACTCCTCCTCCATGCAACCACCCATTTATCCACCTACTGTCCAACCATCCATCAACCCACTCACCCATGCACCTACCCACCTATTCATCTCCCATCTGTCCATTCATCCATACACACACCCTTCTATCCATCCATGCATCATTATCTCCTTCAAATTCGTTCATCCATCCATCCATCCACGCAACCATCCACTACTCCATCCATCCTTCATCCTGCCATCCCTTCATCCTGCTCATCTATCCTATTCCTCAGTCCATCCAGGCAGGTGGACGGTGAAGTGTGCAGCCTTCCATTTACTACTATTGTGACCTTGGGCCAGTCACTTCTCTTTCTCTGGTCCTCAGTTTCCCCATCTGTACAATGGGGATATCGGCCCCCTCCTTTGTCGAGTTTGGGAGGAATGTAGGAGATGTTGAGAATTATGTGCCTGGTACCTAGTGATCGATCCATAAATACGTAAGATCCATGACACGTGGAGACTTACATTTGACACCCCCATGTTTCCACTGGGGAATGTGATGCTCAGAGGGGTATGGGGTCCCCATCTGGGGTCCCACAGTGAGCCAGGGATGGACCCCTCTGTCCTGGCCTGGGTGATGGCTCAGGTCCCCATCCGCCTGCTGTTGCTCCAGGTGGTGGTGTCCCGCGTGGCCCGGGTGTGCAAGAATGACCTGGGAGGCTCCCCTCGGGTGCTGGAGAAGCAGTGGACGTCCTTCCTGAAGGCGCGGCTCAACTGCTCTGTGCCTGGGGACTCCCACTTCTACTTTAACGTGCTGCAGGCCGTCACGGGTGTGGTCAGCCTGGGGGGCCGGCCCGTGGTCCTCGCTGTGTTCTCCACCCCCAGCAACAGGTCAGAGGGCGCCAAAGGGCACAAACTGCGGGCACGGGGTGGATGTGAGTGGAGAGGTTCTGCATTCAGCATATGTTCCCTGGGGCCTGGCCTGGGCAAGGTTGGACTCCTGAGCGGCATCAGCCCCAGGCTGGGGTAGGACAAGGCCAGATACCAACCCTCCATGGCCCTTTGGTCAGAAGTGGGCAGATGGGGGATGTCCTCCCCATCTGCCTTTAGAGGAGGGGGTCAGGAAGGGCTTCCTGGAGGAGGGGAGATTGGAACAAGGCACACTTGGGTATGAGATGGCAGGAAAGGGAAGAGCATTCCAAGTTGGAGGAATAGCATGTGCAAAGGCCCTGAGGCTGCAGTGAGGTTGGGATGTTTAAACAGTAGGGAGGAGGCCTCTGTGGTTGAAGAGGAGGGGGTGAGCAGAGGATATGAGGGCGGAGAGGGAATGAGCCACTGGGAGGAGCCTGGACTGCATCCTGAGAGCCCCAGGGAGCCATGGGAGAGTGAGGAGCAGAAGAGAGACAAGATCAGATTTGCATTTTTGGAAAGCCCCCTGGGGGATGGGTTGAAAGGGGGCAAGAGTGGCATCTGGCAGACTGGACATCCAGGCAAGTGACAATGGGTGGCCATGGAGGGATGCAGGTGGCCATGGAGGAGGTGACCTGTTGTCCAGTCGGGACCCTGTTGAGGAAGCAGAGTGACTGGATTGGCTGGGTGGCCTCTCTGGCCCAGGGGACTGAACATCCGACAGCTTCACGGGGACAGAGACTCTCCAGCACGCTTGACCAAGGCAGTGCCCTCCACCAGGCTCACCGCTGCCTCTCACCTAACTCCCCCAGCATCCCTGGCTCGGCTGTCTGCGCCTTTGACATGACTCAGGTGGCTGCTGTGTTTGAAGGCCGCTTCCGTGAGCAGAAGTCCCCTGAGTCCATCTGGACACCCGTGCCGGAGGACCAGGTGCCACGGCCCCGGTGAGAGCCCCCTTGATCCCAAAACGGGTGCCTGGGTGGGGTCCCGCCCCTAGGACGAAGGGCCGGGACTGCCAGGTGGTTATCTGTCGCTGCCCTTCAGCCGCGCCCATTAGACAGATGCAGAAAACCGAGGCCCTGCGGGCAAGTCCGCTGGCAAATCAGAGCCCCTGCGTAGGGATGTCCAGGTGCAGCCTGACCAGCACTTCTCCCCACCCAGGCCTGGGTGCTGTGCGGCTCCCGGCATGCAGTACAATGCCTCCAGCGCCTTCCCCGATGAGATCCTCAACTTTGTCAAGACCCACCCCCTGATGGACGAAGCGGTGCCCTCTCTGGGCCACGCGCCCTGGATCGTGCGGACTCTAATGCGGTCAGTCCCCATGCGTGGCTGGGGCCCTGGTGGGGCGGTGGATGGTGGGGAGAGCCCAGGCCAGGGCGGTGGGTGGGGAGGAAGAACGGGGCCCCGGTGGGCACGAGGGCAAGGTGGAGAGCGGTCCTGCTGCAGCCAGACCCTCAAGCCAGCCGGGTATGCAGCACCCCGGGGGGGGGGCACGTGATGGGGACGGCGGGGGACAGGCCCAGGCACCTTGCCTGGCATGGGTGTTGTCTCTACATGACCCAGGGCCCCACAGGGACTGTGGGACCAGCCTGACCCCCTGCCCACCCTGGCCCCAGGCACCAGCTGACGCGAGTGGCTGTGGACGTGGGCGCTGGCCCCTGGGGCAACCACACCGTTGTCTTCCTGGGTTCCGAGGTGGGCACCGTCCTCAAGTTCCTCATCTGGCCCAATGCCAGCACCTCAGGCACCACTGGGCCCAGTGTCTTCCTGGAGGAGTTTGAGACCTACCGGCCAGACAGGTGGGGTGGGTAGAGGTGGGGAGGTGGGCCCGGTGGGCAGGGCAATGGGGCCCGCCCTTGAGTCTCACAGTCTCCTCACCCCCAGGTGTGGACGGTCGGGCGGCGGTGAGGCAGGGCGCCGGCTCTTAAGCCTGGAGCTGGACGCAGCCTCAGGTGGCCTGCTGGCAGCCTTCCCCCGCTGTGTGGTCCGCGTGCCGGTGGCCCGCTGCCAGCAGTACTCAGGGTGCATGAAGTGAGTTCCCCCTGGGGCAGGTTGCAGAGGTGAGGGGGAAGCAAGGGGAAATGAGCATGGGAAGCCGGGAGAGCCACGTTCAAGTCCAGGGCTCAACAGTGTCCTGACTCCTTGAACAATGAGCCTGATGAGCTGGGCAGGGGATATAGCCTGTGCAAAGGCCCTGGGGCAGGATCGGGCCTTGTATGTTGGAAGAACAGCAAGGAGACCCGATTGGCTGGAGCAGAGTGAGCAAGGGGAAGAGAGGGAAGGGGGGGCCCGGGAGGGGAGGGGGGCGGTCCAGCAGGGTGTTGTGAGCCATAGGGAAGACTTGGGCTTTCAGGGGCGAGAGCCCTGGAGGGCTGTGGGCAGAGGAAGGTACGAGATCTGCCAGACATCTTTAAGAGCCGCCGGAGCAAAAGCCGGGGACCAGGAAGACAGCTGCCTCCCTGCCTTTAAGGGGTGGCCAGATCAGATGTAAAGTCCTGGCCCGCCCCTAGGCTCAGCGTGAGCCCTCAACACGGAGAGATCCTTCCCTGAGCCCCCCAGCATGGCAGTAGTGATGCCCGGCTCTGCCACTTGGGCAGAAGCCAACTGGCCCGAGCCTTACCTACGAAGTGGGGGGAATAAGTAGCCCCTAAGTGCAAAGATTTGTCACAGGGCCTCCCGGAGCTGACGGTAAGAGGTGCCTGTGAGGGCCGGCGGCTGATGCACCCGCTGGGTCACTTGTCTGCCCTAGGAACTGCATCGGCAGTCAGGACCCCTACTGCGGGTGGGCCCCCGACGGCTCCTGCATCTTCCTCAGCCCTGGCACCAGGTACAGGGGGGGAGACCGGTGGGGGGGCGAGGATCAGGCTTGGCCGGCGGATTCTGCTGACCGCCCTTCCTACCCCGTCAGAGGCACCTTCGAGCAGGACGTGTCCGGGGCCAGCACGGCGGGCTTAGGGGACTGTACAGGTGAGCGGGGGGAGAGGGGGGCCACCAGGGTGTCCTGGTGCTGCCCAGATGGGGGGTGGGGGTGGCCTCGGTCAGGGCCTTGGCGGGGCAGGGTCGCACTTCCAGGAGGGGTGGCAGGGGAGGGACAGGGAGCGGCCAAGAGGCGGGGGCGGGGCGGGGCGGGGCGGGGGGCCGGGCTGCCCCGCCCCCGCCCCCCGCGGCGCCCTGACGCCGCCCCCTCCCGCCCAGGGCTCCTGCGGGCCAGCCTGGCGGAGGAGCGCGCGGGGCTGGTGTCGGTGAACCTGCTGGTGACGTCGTCCGTGGCGGCCTTCGTGGTGGGCGCCGTGGTGTCCGGCTTCAGCGTGGGCTGGTACGTGGGCCTCCGCGAGCGGCGGGAGCTGGCGCGCCGCAAGGACAAGGAGGCCATCCTGGCCCACGGCGCCGGCGAGGCCGTGCTGAGCGTGAGCCGCCTGGGCGAGCGGCGGGCGGCCGGGCCCGGGGTCCGCGGCGTGGGCGGCGTGGGCGGCGTGGGCGGCGCCGGGGGGCCCCCGAGGCCCTGCTGGCCCCGCTGATGCAGAACGGCTGGGCCAAGGCCACGCTGCTGCAGGGCGGCCCCCACGACCTGGACTCGGGGCTGCTGCCCACGCCCGAGCAGACGCCGCTGCCGCAGAAGCGCCTGCCCGCGCCGCACCCCCACGGCCTGGGCGCGCGCGCCTGGGAGCACGGGCACCCGCTGCTCTCGGCCTCCGCCTCGTCGTCGCTGCTGCTGCTGGCGCCCGCCCGCGCCCCCGAGCCGCCGCCCGCGCCCCCCGCCGCCCCCGCCGCCCCCGCCGCCCCCGCCGCCCCCGCGCCCGGCGAGCCCGCCCCCGACGCGCGCCTCTACGCCCGGCCCGGCCGCGCCTCGCACGGCGACTTCCCGCTCACCCCGCACGCCAGCCCGGACCGCCGGCGCGTGGTGTCGGCGCCCACGGGCCCCTCGGACCCCGCCCCCGCCGCCGCCGACGGCCTCCCGCGGCCCTGGAGCCCGCCGCCCACCGGCAGCCTGCGGAGGCCCGGCCCCCACGGCCCGCCGCCCGCCGCCCTGCGCCGCACGCACACGTTCAACAGCGGCGAGGGCAGGCCCGGAGACCGCCCCCGCGGCCGCCACGCGCGGCCCGCCACGGACTTGGCGCACCTCCTCGCCTACGGGGGCACGGACAGGACTGCGCCCCCCGTGCCCTAGGCCGCGGCGCCCCGCCTCGGCGGTGCCAGCCACGGGAACCAGGAGGAGAGAGCCGGCCCAGCTCCAGTGGGTGCTCAAGACCCCCGCCCCGCCCGCGCGGGGGGCCCCTCGGCCACACGGAAGCACAACGAGCTCGCCCCCCGCGCCCCCCGCCCCGCCCGGGGCCGCGGGACACTGAGGCGGTCTGGGGTTGCGGGGGGGCGGGAGGAAGGTGCACCGGATTGGAGGTTGACCTGCGCGTGGATTTGGGTTTGTTTTCCAATTGGCGTTTCTTTTGCAGATTTCTATCCAATTGCACAACTCCGTTCTCGGGGTGTCACCGGGGGCTTGGAGGCGGCGGGGCCGGGGAGGGGCCGCACCTGCGGACCCAACCTCCCCACCCCCACCCCCCCTTCCAGGCCCCTCCTCAACCCAGGCTCCTGGCGTGTGTGGGTGTGTGTGTGTGTGTGCATGCCGTGTTCGTGTGCAAGGGGCCAGGAAGGGGAGGGAGGTGTGTGTGTGTGCGCGCCCACGAGGGCTGCTGCCGGCGTGTGTGTGTCGCGGCGGGCCAGCGTGCAGTGTACCTGTCTGTGTGC